ACGAATTTACTAAATGTTTAAGACAAGAAGCCATTAAATGGGCATATATTATCGGCGATACCATTACCATACTGTCAGAGAAAAGCTAACGACAGATTGTTACGTCATATTGGAAAACTGAAAAAAAATAAGTAATTTTTTTTAACGTTAAAATTTTTATACATTTTTTATTACATCTCCCACAAAGTTTAATAAGTTATTAAATCAAAATACGAAATATTTACATACATTATTTTTAAAACATTAATTCTTTTCAAATATTATAGACTTCTGCCATGGTGGAAAGAATGGATATACTGTAAAGGTTCGATGTTAGCAGACTTCTGCCGTGGTGGGAAGAATGGATATACTGTAAAGGTTCGATGTTAGCAGATCATGATACTTGGCACAAAATGAAAAATATGGCATTGATGCAAAACTGTGATAATAGATTTTTAGAATTTTTAGCTTGTTCTAAATATTACATTAATGAATATTTAGAATTAATAACACCGCATAATGGAACATATATCGGAATACAAGCCAAAAATTGTATTAATAGTTTTCTCTATATTATTGCAAAGCACGCCAAACACGATTATGTGTTTATGAATATATTAACAAATTTCGAGAAATTAAAACCGAAGTAATCAGATTTTTTTTTCTTTTTTTTGTGATAAACGCATGTTGCTCATAATTACAAAAGTTTATTACATAAACTAAACATATATTTGCTATTTTGTTTCTAAAGAGACATCAGTGCCTTGGCCACATTAACTATTATTATTAATCATGTATATTCCAAGAAACAACTTGACGAGGTAATTTCATAAATTCATTTATAAATCCAATTATACAACTTTTTATTATTAAACTTATTAGACTATTTATTATTAAACTTATTTATATTTGTATATGTATATATATACACACACACACACACACACAATACGCGCGCAAAGACACACACAATATTATGAAGTGATTTATATAGATGTACAATTTTATTTTAATCATGCTGAGTGGAGGAGAGTAGGAATAATGTTGCGCAACGCTATTATAGTATTAAATTAAATTATTACTTATTCACAATAAATGTGGTAATAATTTGTTTCAGATCAAAAATACCATAACGAATATTATAGAAAAGTATGCGTTTGATCATATTACTGAAATTTTATACAAGGAAAACAAAACTTACGAAGTAAATATGTCATGTTACATAAACATTACATTTATTTATATCTTATAATAAGATTATTTACATCTTCTACATGTTATATAAATAATATTTTGTTCTTTACCTATATGTTAGAAACGATAACATATGTCATGTTAGACTTTTAAGATGAGATAACATTATTACTTCCTAATGCTAAAATATATTGATTTAGGCAACTGCTCAAGAAAGTTTTAAAGCGTATACAAATCTTCTGGAACATTGGAAATGGTGTATTGAAAGAAAAGTAGAAATACGATTGTCTCAAATCAGAAAGCATGTAAGTTATCTTCAGAAATTTATTAATTACAATTAGAAATCAATAAATAATAATAATTTTATACGTATGTGAATACAGATATTTATGTACAAACTGTTATGAACAACGGTTTATGTTTATCTTCTTTTAGTTTTCATTATCTGTATATCTTATCTATTTGCAATTACTTTTTGCTTATACTTTTTAACAATATTTAACTTTATTATAATTTAATAATATTATGCATAATATTTGTTAAATATTATCCTTAATATTATTACACAATTTTTTATTATTATCAATAAATAATAAATAACTTTAATAATAATTAAT